AGTATGGAGTAGTGTAAAGTATAATCACCTGAAAATAAGAATGGTTGTGTTTTCTTTACCTTAGAAAAGCAGTTTTCAAACTGTAGGGCAAAGAGCCACTGCAGGTGGGAAAAACATGGAGTGAAACCAAGTTGAATGAATATGATTTATGACCAATGTTGACCTTTATTTCACTAAAATTCAACTTGGATATTTGAGCAAATTTATCTACAGAGGGATTTATCTACACCGCTAGATGCCACTAAATCCCTACACATTGTCTTGTTTACTTATTCTGTAATCAGACAGTACATGATTTGAAGGAATAGTTGACAATGAATCTGAAGAGGTAATTGATAGCAACTTTTGGTACTTAATAGCTTTTAATACTCAGTCCTACAGACACAGTTTGGTTGGTACCAAACATTCATTGAGGTTCAATGACCAGCCCTTGTAGAGACTCAGTAAATAAAGAGAATCTATACTAAATCACAAGGCTACAGTCAAACAATGGAGCACTGTCTGACTACAAATGACTACAATTTCTCATGTGCTGGATTCTATTCTACCAACAATTCATCTGTGTTTGTAAGTTGTGGTGAACATTAATATGAACCACCAGTATTTTACTCTGCAGCGTAAAACCTGCTCGTTACAAAAGATAGAACCAATATCTGTGTTCCTTCAGTTACTGTCAATGCAAATTAAATTTAACATTTATTTTTTTAAATGGAAGTATTGTGCACCATAATAACATATGCCGTACAACTGTGGTACGTTGTCTGTTAGCTGGTGATGTTGCACTGTCACATTGTTGTTTAACACATTTATGTTTATTGTACGTATCAGTTGTATTTTTTTCTTCTGCCGAAGTTCAGTCATATCATGAACCTGTTGTAAACCAGCTATGTGAACAAGAAAATATAAAGCTTGAAAAACCCCATTCAGTTGTGAAAATGTACGGCAGAAATATATCACTGTCGTCTTGTGCTTTCTGAATCGTGTGTGTACTGTAGCGGTGCAGGACTAGCCCCAGTTTTTAGTAAGGATCCCATCTAGATGCTGGTATTTCAGACTTTTTGGAGTGTGCCTATCACCTGGAGAGATTTTCTCTCTAAGCAACAAGAGGAAGAACGAGAGCTGTGGGTTACATTCCACGTTGGCCAAGGCCAGGTCTACTTGTGCCTGGTGGAGTGAAGGTGATAAAAGGGCTCAGTTGTGATCATTATTGAATCCAGTAAGTCTTTGTCACAAGAGCATGCAGCTCTTTCCATAAGTGTCCTGTTATGTCTGAATGAAGAAGTAAGGATCATTAGCAGATATATACAGTAGGTAGCGCAAAGGCAGAGTGCAGTAAGTGACTGACAAAATCTAAAATCTAATTTGATGTCTTATAATATGAAATCTGTATTTCTTATTGTTTCAGACACTGAAGCCGCAGTAACTGAGAAACAGAGGGAGAGCACAGTTGGTTTTTTGGTTGGATTTCGTAGTTACTGCAATTTTTACATTGTTTTTTATAAATATATAAAATAGACCAACAATGTACATTATTAGGCTGCATGCATGGAGATATCAGAATTTTGCTGCTGCTCTGGAAAAAATAGACTTGATGCCAAAAAGATCACTGCAAGTCAGTTCTACTTTGCTTCTGGTACTTTGGCACTTTGAAGTGTCATACAGCTCATCCTACCAACAGTTTCAAACTAAATACACACCTAGGCTTACATAGGCGAGTGAGGGGCTAAAATACAATTTCAATTTTCCAGGACAACATAGATTATTTCCAGGATATTTCATCATTTCAATCAATTTCCAGCTGTTTCCACAATTGGAAAACTAGGTTTTCCAGGGCGCGTGGGAACCCTGCAGCCTCCATCTACAGCATCTTGTTAACAGGACACTCTTCTCTCTCATTTCAACTGGGTGTTTATATAGAAATCCTACCACTGCTTTAAACTGCTCTCTTGCAACTGTGTGTGCTATTATGGTAATAAAGTTTGTAGAAACATGTTTGTATGCATCAGCCACACAGCAGGGTAGAAATCTACCATGTTTTTCCTAATACTGTGGCAATCAAATTCCAAAAATGATATGACATTGTTCTCTCATAAGAGATGAACATCAGCTGCACACATAAGCTTTCATATCAAGGCAGAACAGTTATAAACTTTTAGTAACCTGCAGTAATAAACTCATCACAGATACAGATTATATTTTTGTACCATGGGTGATGATGATGATGATTTGGTTTTGACTATGAACATCAGGTGGAATTTGGTAAAAAGCTTCATGAGTTGACTTACTGCCTTGCTGTCATTGCCGAACAGCACCAGGCCTGCCTTGGTGACAATGCCAGGTCGGCTAGCTCCGGTGATCTCCAGGGGCTGGCCGTTAGTGGGGCTGTTATCCACCAGACTGGAACCGTAGAAAGTCACTTTCTACAGGAAGAGAGGCACAAAACACCAAATGTGGTGAAGGCAATACCAAAACTGCTTACGCGGTTCGGACGCGGTTCGGGCTCAGTTCGGGCTGGCACAGACTTTTTTGGGGGTCTGGTAAGGTTGTTTAGTTGGTTGAACAGATAAGGATCCAGATAATGTTTTACTCACTCATGGCTAATCAGATCACCTGCCACAGGAGGACCTTTGGTTTAACAGGCTGAGTTGTAACATGTTGCCAATAAAAGCAAACCATCTTTATCAACGGTATCCATAGGTAACCGGCTCATCCCTTTACTGGCAGCTTCCTCCAGGTCAGTGGTTCCTAACCTTTTCTTGAAGGGAAATCACTGAGTAAACTGATGACCCCTGACTAAGGGACATATTTTATGAATATTTCAGGAAGTTTGTGTAAAATTAGCAGTTTGGATGAATTTTGAGCATTCCTGTGAATACTGCAGTAGAGATTAGTTTTCCTGATATTTTGAGGAACTTTTGATACAATTCGGTATTAGGTTGTTTTTTATCGAACATAAAAGGCTGACAAATTCAGTATTTCCTTTTCATAGGTCTCCATAGTTGTTTTAACTTCATACTTTTCTAATGCAGGACAAGGCTGTTTATCAGTGAGTGAATGCTCTGTGAATAGAGTTCATGTTCAGGTCTTTAAAATTTAGATCTTAAGTATAAATGCAAACTTTAAAAAGAACAATTTTGTTTAGTTTTCTTCACAGAAATTAACAAAACACTAAGATATAGGCCTACTGTATATAGTTTTCTTACATGCCTTAAATCAAGAAGGCCTTGCGAACCCCCATGAAGCTTTGGCGACACCTAGTGGGGGTCCTGACCCCCAGGTTGGGAACCACTGCTCCAGCTTAAAGTTACACGAAACACCACTTTCGTGGAATATTTACTAAAATGTTTTTTTAACTAAATTGAACAAAACCAGAACCAAAAACTAGAGGCTATGGACATAAATGTCAGTCAGTGTGAGCTTGATGCGTGAGTGTACATTAATTAGTCCTTTAATTAAGAAGTGCTGGCCTAACAAAGGATTACTGCCCAGGTATATGAATTATAACTTTTTGTTCACAACAGATATGAAGCATTCTTTAAACTTCGGATGTAAAGCCTCAAACCATTGTCTCCCCCTATAAAGTCAATTTTCAATATTAAAGTGCGTTACATAATGACATTTAATGTTCATGTATCATAAGATATGAGTTCTGTTATAACATGCAGTGCCATCCTGTGGCAGGACAGAGAAACGAAGGATGCAGATGAATGGTGTGCTGCTCTTTGTTACCTGTCCATCGACCTCCGCCCAGGCCCCGGGCACTTTGTCGTTCCCTCGGATCCAGTTGTGGAGAGCCTCAGCAGACTGGTTCCAGTCAATCTGCCAAAAGACAGAGGAATCTCTTCGTCATTATGTGTTAAGCAAAATGTAAAGAAATGAAATGTTTTACTTTGAAAACCATTCATTGTTTGCAAGATCACAATTTCAGATTGAAAATTCAGGCGCCCAAGGTGATGAACAGAGTTTCAATGGATTCCATTATCATCCATTGTCATGATCCATAACAGAGTGTAGAGAACTGTGTGGCTGTCCTTGTACATTACCTTGGAATTATCTTTCTTCTGTATGCACTCGTATGTGGCTCCCTCCTGTGGCTGTGTGATCCTCGGGGCCTTCCCCTCTGCTATCTGCCTCACTGCTTCCACCTGGAACCACAACAGTGCACTTCAAGTCACTGAAGCAAAACGCGTGCTATCTTTATAGACTTTGCCATCACAGTGTTTGTTATGTTGGGAAACTGAAGTGCCACTGAAGGTAGACAAGCATGAGGATCCTTAACATGATACCTTCATTTATTTACATGATGGCTTTTCTTTACCTACATGTTGGGACTGGTAAAGATTTAATAACGGAAATGGTGATGGCTCCTATTCTTAAAAAGGACCATACCACAAGTTTTGATTCCTTCAGTACAAATCACAGAAAAATAATACCACAGCATTTTACAAACACTAGGCATGGGATGATATGAAAATTATTATCTTGGCCAAAATAATAATAATTATTATTAATTATTGCAATACACAATATTATCATGATAATCATAAAAATATACTTTACTACTACTAATACAACCATACTTTTAAAATGACTAAAACTAAAACTTACTGGAATCACTTTACCTTATATTTTGTTAAGAAACACATGATTATTGCGTCACTGTTCTTTACTTTGGAATCTAGACTATTTCCACACATCTGGTTTAACTTTTTGTGGGGGATGCAATGGGTAAGCCAAGACTTTAGCCATGGTGACAACCTTTGGACTGACTGAAAAGATGCAGGCTCCCCCATGTCCATCATGACCAAACTCTCAAAACTCTCTCAAGTTATGTAATCACAGTGAATATCAGCCTGATTTACGTTACACTTTCACTAGCTATGTTTACTTGGAACCTAATATTTTTATTATAGTTGGTTTAAAAGGCCAAACAGAATAAAACTTCTCCACATAAACAGCCCAATCAGACCCAAACCGATTTCAGTGGGTTGCAGGGAGGGTCATCTAAACCTTTTCATAAACCCATGAAAAGAAAAACTGTACCAAGTAAACGATTTACCCTGATTACTTTATGGATGCGTGGAACAAAAAACGTTAACCAGATGTGTGGTAATAGTATAGATTCCAAAATAAAGAACACAGAGTAAATATATGTGTGTCTTAACAAAATATAAGGTAAAGTGATTCTAGTATAAAAATCTTCCTATGGTCCCATGCCTACTAGTGGCCAAAAAAAAGATGAACAGCTTTAAATGTACATAATGTTGAACAGAACAGTAGACAATCAGTAGTAAGATATCTTACTCATATCTTACTTAGACAAACAATACTTGCACATCTATATCGTTTGGTGGTCAATCCTACATTTTATAATCCTAAATAATTGTCTCTTCTAATCGCAAATAATGCACCCTTTGTATCCAGACTGAGCACTCAATATAAAAATACACTAAACCACAGTGTGTGCCAGATGATCCGCTTTAACCTCTGAGGCAAAACAAAAGCAGGTTAAAGTTTAACTATGGCAGGTGAGAGCAAAGACGGTTTGTTAGATAAACACTTTCCCATAGAGCTTGGGAAGTGTTTTCATTCATGTAAATGTGTATTTTATGGTTACTCCATACATTTACTCATATCTCCTGCTGGGAATGGGACAATATGATAACTTCATGCAATGATTATTGGGAATTCATGATTTGATCACAATAATCTTCTAACTATGCTTAAAACTCTTACAATGGAACTAAAACATACTGGAATCCTTTTAGTTGACTTTTTTTTTCTTACTGCATCATATATGCGACACCCTATCTCCCTGTTGTCTTTAGATTGGAATTCATAGTATTTCCACACATCCAGTGGAATACAATGGGCAAACTGAGCCTTCAAACATGGTGAGGCTTAGAACTGAACAGATGTGGGTTACCCCTTTGTGGCAATTGAAAAATAAATCAGGGAATCAATATAGGGCTGTATATTAGCGAGCTCGACCGCTAGGCCTGCAAGGATATTCACTATTATCTCGATAATGGAAATTCACCATGATCAAGTGTTTTATATCGTGATACGGGATCATATCGTACATCATCACATCCCTTTTAAGCAACTAGCACAGCCTGTTTTCTCTACCCACAATGCCTTTTCCATCACTACACTCACTGTGCCTTTGACTCCCTCTGGAAAGAGAAATCTCTTGTAGATTGTGTTGACGGTGTCATTGGGGTCAACATCACACTCCCTCTGCAGCAGGATTGGTCCAGTGTCCAGTCCGTCATCAGCCCAGAACACTGTGAACCCGCCCTTTCTGTCGCCATGGATCAGGGTCCTGTGTGCCAAAGGCAGCAGGTCAAAGACCGGCTCTGTCACAATGCTTACCCCGACCCGATGAACGTGTGCATCACTCACCAGTTGATAGCGGACGCCCCCCTGTGGCGAGGCAGCAGGGAAGGGTGGTAGATGATGGAGCCGTGTTTGGGGTGGTCGATGACCTCCATGGGGATGAACTGGGAGCAGAAGGGCAGGACGTTGAGCTCGGCTCCAGTGGCCTTGTACTGAGCTACCACCTCCGGGATAGCCTGGCCCTTCACACGCCAGCGGGGGAACTTGAAGACGGGAACGCCATCCTTCTCCGCCTCAGTTGCTGCAGGACAAAAGAATGATCAAATCTCAAATGTACAACCACAAAAGATTAAGAAATCTAAAGAGGATGATTATTATTTCTTTGTTATTTGTTTCTGTTATATATAATTCTCTGTCAATTTATTGTTTTGATAAATGAGGAGACAGTGAGCCTCATGTTGGCTTCACTCTCTACAATCTGTGCCTCCAACAGAAACACAAGCAGCTCGTGCTGACCAATCATAGTTTCATTTAAATGTTGGAATTTGTAGTTCTCTCATAACCATAAGGCTACACTTTCTAGCCCTTCCTTATACAGTGCTATAAATCTGGTATCGGATTGGACGTCTTACTGCTGGTTACTGCTGATATAAAGATGATGATGAGGTGATGACACACCGTACTTGGACACCAATACAGATTTTTTTTTTTTTGGTTTAGGGGACCAAAGTGATAAAACTAGTGGTGTGAGGAGTCCAAATTTCATTTGGCACCATCTATTAATGGCAGCCGTGGCCAAACTTATGACTTTTTTGCTTGGAAACTCACACTCAATTAGGCTTTAGCAAGAGCAAACACAGTATTTTCATTCATTTCACTCTAAAGCCCAGTTCAGACCAAATACTTGTAACTACTTGCAATGGACTGGCCTGCAACATTCTGAAACTTGCCAGTTCACACTAATGCAACCAGCGGAGTATCTATAGCAATCCATAGCTTCCATTCTAACTGCCGGCTTTTCAGGCTTTTTGTAGCTGGATATCATTTGTAGCATATTATTCATGAAACCATGAAAACGGCAAAAGAATTTGGAGCCGTCTATGGGTGCACGGATAAATTTAAAGGTTTGTTTCAAACGCATTGATGAGGTGATCCTCTGTTTTCTCCGTCCAAAACTCTGCCACTTCCACCAGCTGACAGTTTGTAACTGAGTTGACTGGCGCACTTCCGTACAAGCTGATTGGCTATTGAGAATGGTGACATTATACCGCTGCAACATTTCGCTACAAAGTGCTTAAACAGTTTCATCTCGCTGTGACTCTCTGGTTTGAACTGGGATTAACTGGTCCTATGGATGCTAAGGTAAAGCTAAGGTTTGGAGCTCCCAGTCCCGGTTAAGTTCTCACCCAGTGGGTCAGCCTTGCCATCCTTGTCAGGGATGGTGAAGACTCCTACGATGGTGTGGCCGTCCTTCCTCAGCTCCTTGTAAACCTCCTGGCCGAACAGACTCTGACCAATCACTGCGATCTTCATCCTCACACCTCACTGTGTTCTGAAACCGCCAGAAAATGTTTGGAATTAGTACAAGCACTCAAACAATATGAATTATGTCACATAGGAGGGAAAGAATGTCACATTTAATAAAGCAAGTGGGGGTTTATTGTATTGTATCTAAGAGCTACATCCTGCATATGCTGTTTTTAGACTTGCAAGTACTTTACAACTATGAAACAAGTGAAAGGTGTCAGTTTTTACTAGTTTGTCTTTGGCTAAAGGGCACACAGAACACTGACTTCAGAATAAACTCAGCAAGACAGAACATGCCTGTGCTTCTGTTAGCTTTGTGTGTGTGTGTGTGTGTGAGTGTGTGCAGACATTTCATAATAAAGCTCTGTGCAAAAATGTGAAAGTCTTGACTGTAGGTCTGAAGGGCAAACTGAGCAGCTCTGTGGCGGTTTCTATGGCTTTAGCATGAAAAACTGTGTGCAGACAGGCAGGCAGAATGTGTGTGTACATGTGGATTACTAGCATTCCAAATGTGTTCTCAGAAAAGGCTAAAATGGATTTTAGATGTAGTTGCAATACTTTATCAAAAGGACATACAAGAATGCATTTATATTTATATTTATAACTTCATATATATGATGAAAAACTAATAACTTCCATGCAGCCATTATGCGTTACTAGTTTATTTGATTTGATTTTCTCAATTCAGCTTAGTTTTTAATGTTTAAAAATGTTTAGCTTTACTTTAGTTTTTATTAGTTTAAATACGACAGGGCTCCCACTCTTTAAGAAATCGTTTTCCAGGACCTTTCCAGGAGTTTCTCTTGACAAAACAGGACTGCAATCGCTCACAAATGGGGGTCATTGGGTCGTCATGTCGTGTTAGCTCGCTTTCATGGCTAGCTGATTTTTCCACTTTCTTAACTGACCATCAGGTTGTGGACCCATATTAATAAGATGATAAGATTTAGTTATTCCATAACTGTCTATACCAGGGGTCAGCCACCTTTATGGTCAAAAGAGCCAAGAAAAAATGCGTCTGGAGCTGCAAATTTGGAACTATCCTTGCTGGGGAGACTCAAGACTAGAAGGCATGTTAATGCATTTTCTTATTCAGTGTGTAATGGCTGCACATTTTTACAACTGGATAATTTAAGAATCACTTTAGGCCAACAAAATGATAAATGAAAATTGTTAATTTCCATAAAATTTCCGTCACATCCACAGGGAGCCACCAGACAGGGGTTACAGAGCCATAGGTTGCCTACCCCTGTCTGAACTGTAGATTGGCTCAGTAACAGTGAAGAGTGTGAAACATATGAACATAATAATCATTCTTATACATTCTCTCAACTTTTAGTTAAAGAAATAATAGTGAAATTAAAATATTCCCCAGAGGTTCCCCAGGTTGAGAACTGCTGATGTAGACATACCAGTCTCAACAAACAAATGCCTCCTCACACACATATGACCTAATTTACACAGACTGGGGACATTTCCTGAATATTTCTGTTATATTTGAGTTAGTTTTGTACACAAAACAATTTTAGTTAGTTTTTGTTTATTTATTAAGTGTAGTTTTGATTTTTATTTCAGTGAACCAAAGTGTTTTTTCACACCTAGTTTTAGTTGTTACTTCCGTTTTAGTGAACTTTAACAACCTCTGCCAAGTGCTCAGTAATCATGACTGTCTGTTTGACAGTTTATTGACCCTGAACAGACAGGGGGCGGGTCCTGCTGTCCTGCCAACCAATCGATGCCGTCAGTGTAGCTCATGCCTCTGGTGTTGACCAATCAAAAGCACGGAAGAGATGCGAGGCTTTGACAGCCCACTGAAGGGACACTGTTCAGTTACAAGACATGAAGTTTAAACTAACATTCAGAACTATAATCACACGTTACCCACAATGCACTGCGTGAAGTCCTGTGCAGCAGCCATAATGTGGAGCTGTAATATTAATATCCTCAACAGCTGCTGCAAACAGCAACAGGCTCTTGTTGCAAATGCAAACAACCTGTGTGTGTGTGTGTGTGTGTGTGCGCGCGCGCGTGTGTGACAGGAGACCAATCAGCAGTTCGCAGGCTCACTAACTAACATTATGCATCATGCAAAGAATCATGAAGCAGAAGTGAAGTCCTTACCCCGCCTGCAGACCCAGTGCTCCTCTGCCTGGAAAGAGCGATCGGACGCAGACGGTCGCTTTTAATTTCCTCCCCTCAGCCACACACACAGGCCGCCCAAATTACATAACATGCAAATAAAGCAGAGTGATTGGACAGCGCGGGCCATAAGGCTGCAGGGGGGGCTGGGTTGTTTCTGAACCAACCCAATCCCACACACAAACTGTCAACTGACTCACTACACTTCAATAAGGAGCGACTATGAGTTTGTCCTGCAATATGCTGGAAGAACGTTACTTTTTAAGGGAGTAACATATTCACATCAGCAGAAATGTATGTATGGAAATATGGAAGGCCATTTCCGCCAATGTGACGAAAAATAAAAGATTTTGTAAGTCATGACAAGGAGTATTTTGAATTAGTATCTCTAAAATAATGACTTTGTGATGCTGAGTCATATTTTGAGATTCTAAATCAAAATATTGAGAAAGTTTCTCATTACCTGTAAATTATTTATTTGCATCATTGGAATTATTGTTAGAACATATAAATATAAACACTGCAAATGCATTGCATATGCATGCTCTGCGTAATGTATACTGTAATATCCACCTACCATATAAATAAAGAAAACCGGGCGTGCATGGTAGTAGGGCCAGGGTTTGATTCAAACCTGCGGCCTGTGTGTCGTCCCCCCTTTCCTGTCTATCTTCCCCTGTCCTGTCAAATAAAGGCAAAAAAAGCCCTCCCAAAAATCTGTTAAAAAATAAAACCTGCACAAAAATATTTATTTCATCATCCTCTGCACTCTGTACTATTGCCTCACTGTCAAATGTTATTGTTATTGTTTATGATATATAAACACACACACACACA